GCTGGGCGCCGCCATCTTTTTTTGATGAAAACGTGCTTCCGGTGAGCTTTCTACCTGGAAAAGCTCACCGGAAGCGCTGGCGCCGCCATCTTTTTTTGATGAAAACGTGCTTCCGGTGAGCTTTCTACCCGGAAAAGCTCACCGGAAGCGCTGGTGCCGCCATCTTTTTTTGATGAAAACGTGCTTCCGGTGAGCTTTCTACCCGGAAAAGCTCACCGGAAGCACTTTTTCATCAAAAAAAGATGGCGGCGCCCAGCAAGCCAGCGGCCCAGTAGGAGTTGTTCCGCGGATCGGTACCGGTCCGCGGCCCGGTGGTTGGGGACACCTACTTTACAGCATCATAGATAGAACTCCAAACAGGGACATTTCCAGAAGTCAACTCACAAGGAAGCTATTAGAAGGGCAAATCTTACAGCCCTTTCATCCACTCTCCTGCCTTTTTTAGAATGCTCATCCCAGCGCTAGAACAATTAGCAAGAAGAGAATTGGTATTTGTACTTTCATGCATTGGAGAGAAAGGGATTACAAGAGAGTAAGCGGGTGCATATTGGGGAATACACATCAAAAGGAATGCATTAGTACCAGCTGCTTGCCTAGGGTGCTGGTGACTGCAGCCACCAGCCCTTAAGGAGGCAAACAAAGGCTTTCAGTGTGACACTGATTAAAGTCTGGTCAGTTTCAGGATGGCAGCTGATTCTAATCAATTAATTAAGGTTCACCAAGCTGAGCTAATTCCTTTGGCACCTTTTAGGGAAATGCTGTGTTGAAAAGCAGCTCAGGAAGAGATTGTTTGTTTAGGCAATGGGGGCTGTGAAGGAAAAAAAAATGGGTCAGGATCAAGACAATACATACATAATTAACTGATTGTAATGGTGGATGGATGACAGAGGGAGAGAGATGCTACAAGAGTCATAAATATGGCCATTGCTCACAAAGTTACTTTTTCATCACACTCATAACTGGTCACTATCTGAGGCACTCACTAAATGAGGACTACCAGCAGATACTTTCAATAACCGCAGAGAGATTTAATGTACAGCTTCAAACTGTTCCAGAAAATCAATGCAAAGGACAGGACAATACAGGACATCAATTTGCCTTCCAACATACCACCTTTTGTTTGGTTTCTTTTTTTTTATTAAAAAAATTGCCCAGGAAGAAATTAGTTCTTAAAGGCATTACTCAAGTGTCAATGTAATATCACACACACAAAAAAAAAAACCAGACACCAAAAGCGGTATCTTCTCCAATTTCAGCCGAGCCTCTGTTTATTCTCCAGGCCAGGCTTTTGCAAAAATTCTGATACTTTGTCCTAAAACAAATCATCAAGTGTTCCACAGACAAAATAATCCCAAAAGCTGGGGTGGGTGGGGAAAAATCCATTAAAAATATGCCCAAAAGACAAATCTCTCTTTCTTCTCAGGGTTCGGTACATACACAGTAGCACAAAAAAATTAAACATCTCAAAACATTGTTCACTAAATGCAAACAATTTTCATATTGAAGTGTGATTCCATATATTTGTAGCAGGGACAGAGGGAGGTGAGACAGAGAGACAGAGACAGAGACAAGAGAGACAGAGAGTGAGGCAGAGACAGAGAGAGAGACAGAGACAGACAGACAGACAGACGGACAGACAGACAGACAGATATACAGATAGAGATAGACAGATGATTGATAGATAGATGGAGATAGATAGATAGATAGATAGATAGATAGATAGATAGATAGATAGATAGATTTGGTGGGATTTTAAAAAATTTACTACCAGTTATGTGGGTGTGGCTTGGTGGGCGTGGCAGGAAAAAGATACTGTAAATCCCATTCCCACCCCACCTCACTAACCTGCTTTCCAGCTCCGTTCTCCTGTACAGGGCAACCAAAGATCAGCTGGGACTCGGGAGGCAGAAAATGGATGGGGCGGGGCCAGTTAGAGATGGTATTTGCCGGTTCTCCTAACTACTCAAAATTTCCGCTACCGGTTCGCTAGAATAGGTCAGAACCGGCTGAATACCACCTCTGCTTCAGAGGTTGTAGAGGCTCCATCACTGGAGGATTTCAAGAAGAGATTGGGCAGCCATTTCTCTGGTCTACTATAGGGTCTTCTGCCTGAGCAGGTGGTTGGACTAGAAGACCTCCAAGGTCCCTTTCAACCCTATTATTCTATGTTCTAAGAAGGAAAGTTGGATTCATCCTTACAATATCTAGCAGCGGGAGGTTACCTCCTTCAAGCATATTCAGCGGTAATCTCTTCGTTTGCCCTTCCTTTGCTTGCTGTTTAAGCTAATATGCAAATGCTGGTTCTTTATCTGTATCTTTTTTTTTAATTTTGCTTTAATGCAACAAACCAAGCTAATTAAATGCCCGATTGAGTAAACTGATTTCAATCATGTGTTCGCCATCTACCCCGGTCTGAAATCCAAGATTTTGAAATGTCCTCCACCGTATGTCTTTCTGATCTTCCTAATGGAAGATTAAGCGCTTAACCCCTTCCCACTGGCGCTGAATGATGCAAAGAAAATTGATTTTGAAATGAATAATAGCCTTCTTTCTTCCACTTCTCCAGATGCTTCATTCAAGATTGCTGGGCGTGCTTGCCTCCTTTATTCATGTCATGGGTTCTTCTGGATTCGGAGAATATCGCTTTCAGACATTTTTCTTAAACGTTTTCTAAGTTGAGGAAAATAACCATGAGGTCATCTTTGAAGAAGGCCAGAGAAGAAGAAGCAACGGGTTGTTGGGTTGGAGATCTGCCTGGGGGAAAACTTTTAAGAGATGCAGAACCATATTTAAGAATTTGAAGGAAAATATTGGTAGCTCAGTGTTGAACTGTGGGGTCCTCAGCGCTCTTGGTTGAGCTTGGTTGTTTTATTGCGGACGTTTCAATACCAAACTAGGTAACATCATCAGTGTTAGAAGGGAATGGGGTTTGCGCAGAGGTGGTATTCAGCAGGTTCTGACCAGTTCTGGAGAACTGGTAGCAGAAATTTTGAGTAGTTCAGAGAACCAGCAAATACCCCCTCTGACTGGAGATTTTAGAGTATCCATCCCTACCACAACCACCAAGCCATGCCCACAGAACCAGTAGTAAAAAAAAATTGAATCCCACCACTGGGTTTGCAACAAGGAGGAGGAGGAAGAGGAGGAGGAGGAGGAGGAGGACGACGACGACTGTGGGGTCCTTGGTGCTCTCTGAGCTTGGTTGCTTTCTTGCAGACATTTCATTACCCAACTAGGTAACATCATCAGTGCTAGAAGGGAGTGGGCGTTATGGAACGGAGGAAGAGTGTGGGGTCTTTTCTGCTCTCTTGAGTTTGGATCCCTGACATATAGGGATTTTCACAGCGGACTTTTTCACAATTTTAATACATTTCTTTTTTGAAATTATTGTATTGTATTTCTGGTTTTTTAATTGTTTTTCATCTGGGGCCATCAATACATGGTGACTGATTGATTGAAACATGGGATTAGGGGAAATGCTATCATGTCACCCCTAGTCCTTCTCTTCATTAAACTAGACATACCCAATTCCGGCAACCGATCTTTATATGTTTTAGCCTCCAGTCCCGTAATCATCTTTGTTGCTCTTCTCTGCACTCTTTCTCAAGATCTTTTTTATATTGACCAGAACTGAATAGAGTATTCTAAGCATCAGCTTTTCTAAGATATTGTCAATTGTAGATATCGTACAATGTGGACGTACAACTTACCTTTTCCTTCTTTTTCTTTCCCAGCTTGTGGCTTTGGAGAGACAAGTGTTTGATTTCCTGGGCTACCAATGGGCTCCGATTCTGGCCAATTTCCTCCACATCATCATGGTGATCCTTGGCCTTTTTGGGACAATCCAGTATAGACCACGCTACATTGTGGTGGTGAGTTTGCTAACGATTCTAAGGCTGGCGTATAATATCCAGATGGGGATTTAAGTCCAGCAGTTTCAATGGGACTTCATTTTTGGAAGAGGCATAGAGCTGAATTGTGGGAACGGGCCAGTGATTGCAGGCTTTCCTCAACTTACAACCGCAATTGAACCCAAAGTTTCCATTGCTAAACAAGACAGTTGTTAAGTGAGTTTTGTCCCTTGCTTAGGTTAAAAATGAGAATATGTATCCCTTCAATGTTGACACAGATGGTATAGCACAGTGGTGGGATTCAAATTGTTTTACCACTGGTGGGCGTGGCTTGGTGGGGCGTGGCTTGGTGGGCGTGGCTTGCCTAACGCCAGTGCGCAGCTTTACCCACACCAGCTGAGACTGCCGCGCCAATCAGCTGAGGGGATAAAGAAGAGAAAAGAGGATTTTTTTCCTCCTCTCAGCTGATTGTAGGCTTTTTTAAATACCAGTATGGCCGAACTGATTGTCATCTGTGCTAGAACCCGGAAGTTCGGCTTTTCTGGAGTGCGATCCATTCGTGCAGGGGTGGGATTCAAATTTTTTAACAACCAGTTCTCTGGGCGTGGCTTAGGTGGTGGGCGTGGCTTGGTGGTCATGTGACTGGGTGGACATGGTCATGTTATTGGCTGGGTGTGGCCAACTCAATATCCCTCACATCGAGGCACGCATTTCCTCGCCTGGCCTCTCATGACTGTGTGGATGCTGCAACAGTCGTAAGTGTGAAAAATGGTCATAAGTCACTTTTTTCAGTGCCATTGTAACCTTGAATGGTCACTCCACACAAGCAAAGTACCAGCAAAGGAGGGGAAAAAAAACTCCAGAGAAGTTCCTGAGACAGGAAGTCTAGTTCTGCCAAGAATGTAATAAGGGTTAACGGAGAGGCAGCTTCTGTAAGCAACACCAGAATGTTTCCTTCCTGCCTTCCTTACAGGACTAGGCCAGTAATTTCTTCTAACAACCGGTTCTCCGAATTGCTTAGAATGTTAACAACCGGTTCTAGCGAATATGTGTGGACTGGTAGAATCCCACCCTGCCTTCGCATATGCGGCAGTGTCAAAAACCAGCACGTGCATGCGCACCGACCAGCTGATTGTCGGGTGCGCATGCACGCTAGAAACCCAGAAGTTCAATTTTTCTTGAGTGCAGCCTCGACGAGCACGTGCACGATGTCTGCATGACCTTTTCGTCACTCAGTGCCCAAAAGGTTCGCCATCACTGCACTATATAGTAGAATTCAATAGAGTTACTTCCTGTGGGGTAGAAGCTAGGGTCTTATTTTCAGAAAAACATGGGTATTTCCTTTGATGCTTGGCACAGTGAAGGGCCAATTTTTAATTCCTGGGTTGATCCAGAAAAACTTCCAATCACATTGTCACAATCTGCCAGAAAAGGGAACGCCGGGCGTTCTCCACCCCATAGTAACAGATGATTGTTTTAAACCTGGCCTGTTGCAGTTTATACAACTTCAAACATGCAAGCACTGTCTTCAGCTTGTCTGTCTCCCATAGCACATTTGAATGCGACCAGGGGCAACTGAGATTACAAGCAGATAATTGCTTTTGATCTACCCCTTGCAACAGAGGAGACTTAATTCACTTCAATCCAATGTTTTCACTTTGTTCTGCAGCCTTTTGGGGGGGGAAACAATGGAACAATCTGGCAGTTCATAATACAAGGGGCTGCAAATTTTAATTGCCAGCCTGAAGGGCGTTTGCCTGTGAGATTCTTCTTATATGGAGTTGGCGATCCATGATAATCACAGCCATAAGATAAACTCTTTGCAATTTGAGTAATCAGCTTGTTATCTCCAGAGCTGATATCAATGTTACCATGTAGATCAGACAGGAAACATAACCAAATAAGCTAATTCTATTTTATTGTAAAGCTACATTAACTCGAATCTTGGAAGACTGAAAGTACAATAGGTTTCCTAGTGCAGGGGTCCCCAAATTTTGGGCCGCAGTCCACAAACCAGGCCATGGCCAGTTCAGAACCAGACCACATAAGTGGTGGGAGCTCCTGTTCATGCACGAAGTGCCACTACAACTGACTTCCCCCATTGTCTTTGTGTTTTGACCTAGGCTTCACAAAATCACGAAACAGACTCCTCGTCCTGACAAAACCCCTTTTTATTAGACTGGATGTGATTTCCTATCATTCACATCCAGCAAAGTCCAGGCAAACAGTCTTTCAAGAGTGAATTACAACCATACACCTTATCAGGCTTGGAGAGTTACCAGGCCAATAGCTTCCAATCACAATGCTGTACAAGAAAATACTTGGCAAGAAGTCACGAACAAATCTTCACACTAATTAAACGAACTAATAGTCTCCTGCAAACACCACTCCCCTTTCACTCCTCTTTATTCCCTATGAAAGGGGCCATTCACCATCCACCTGTGCCTTTACTCCCGAGTTGACCCTTGTTCCTTAGCTGTTCCCTTTTCCTGGCAGCTCTGCGCATACGCACACTGGGAACAGGCTCCAGCTGTTCTTCTGCCCCACTGATGTCCGACTTGGAAGGCAGCTGATAACTGTCAGACGGCCCTGGCTCCATCTCTGCTTCCAATGAAGAGCACCCATCAGAGCCTTCCCCAGACTCCAGGACTGGCCCATGTTCCTCCCCAACCTCCTCATTGTCTCAATCTGCTGCCAGCTCTGCTGGTGGGCCACAGAACTTTGCTTGTTCGAACATAAAGACACCCCAAGAATGCTAAGTGAATTTTGTCCCATTTTATGACCTTTCTTGCCACGGCTGTTAAGTGAACCACTGCAGCTGTTAAGTTAGTAACATGGTTGTTAAGTGAATGTGGCTTCCCCATTGACTTTGCTGGTCAGAAGGTCACCAAAGGGGATCACGTGACCCGAGGACACTGCAACTATCATAAATAGGAGCCAGTGGCCAAGGGTGCAAATTTTGATCATGTGACCATGGGGATGCTACAATGGTCATTCCCTTCCTCCCTTCCTTCCTCCTTTCCTCCTTTCTCTCTTTCTATCTCTCTCTCACTGTCTCTTTCTTTTTTTCTTTCTTCTCACAGTCTCCTGACAATTGTGTAACTCTGAGTGGTCACTAAATGAATTGTTGTAAGTCAAGGACTATCTGTACTTAGATGGTTTGGGGAAGGCAATTAAAAAAAAACATTTTCAATAAGCAATAAGATTGTTTTCTCTCTCTCTCTCTCCCCCTCTCTTACATGTCCCATCCTTACACCCAGTACGCCATCTGGACGGCCATTTGGGTCACCTGGAATATTTTCATCATCTGCTTTTATTTGGAAGTTGGCGGCCTTTCAAAGGTGAGTGACGTTTGGCTCTGAGCCTGGCCAGTGGGAGCCATATGTATCAAGTCTGCTGGGGAAGAGAATCGGCTAAACAAGGGTCTCCAACCTTGGCAACTTTAAGACTTGTGGACTTCAACTCCCAGAATTCCTCAGCCAGCTTTGCTGGCTGAGGAATTCTGCAAGTTGAAGTCCACAAGTCTTAAAGTTGTCAAGGTTGGAGACCCCTGGGCTAAGAGATTCATTTCGTTCAGAACAGAGCTGGAAGGAATCTCGGAGGTCATCTATTATTATTATTTATTATTTATTTATTTGATTTGTCAATCGCTTACAAGATAATAGGTATAAGTATAAACATGAGTAAGAATACAGGAAATAGGTACGAATAAATGGGGACAATAGGACAGGGACAGTAGGCACAATGGTGCACTTATGCCTGCCCCTTACAGACCTCTTAGGAATGGGGTGAGGTCAATAGTGGATAGTTTAAGGGTAAAGGAATGGAGGCTAGAGGATATAAAACAGAGTCAGGTAGTGCATTCCAGGCATTGACCACTCTGTTGCTAAGGTCGTACTTTTTGCAATCAAGTTTGAAGCGGTTTATATTGAGTTTGTATCTGTTGTGTGCTCTTGTATTGTTGTAGTTGAAGCTGAAGTAGTCATTGACGGGTAGGACATTGTAGCAGATAATTTTGTGTGCTACGCTTAAGTCCAACCGTAGGCGGCGTAGTTCAAGGTTGTCCCATGGATCTAGTTCAACCCCCTGCCCAAACAGGAGACCCTACACCAGTTCTGACAGATGGCAGTCCAGTCTCTTCTTGAAAGCTTCCAGGGATGAAGCTCCCGCAACTTCTGAAGGCAACTTCTGTTCCATGGGTTGATTGCTGTCACTGTCAGAAAACTTCTCCTTATTTCCAGGTTGGATCTTCTTCTAAAGGTCTTTTAGTTCAGCCAACTGCTCAAGCAGGAGATCCTATACCAATCCAGACAATGGTCTAGTCCAGTGATGGCTAACCTTTTCAGCACCAAGTGACCAAAGCGCGCAGGCGCATCCACACAATGCAACCCATGTGCATGCCCCGCCCATATGCTCCGCCCCCCCATGCATGCGCATATGACCCCCGCACACCTGTGCAACGCATGCGTGACCCCCTGCATGTGCACCTCCCCACACGTACACACGTGACGCCTGCGCATGCACTCCACCCGACCCCTGTGTGTGCGCCCCGCCATCACACATGCATGCGCAACCCCCATGTGTGCACCCCACCCCCCTTGTGAGTTCGTGGCAGAGACCTGAAGATCAGCTGGCCCAGGGGAGGCGCACGCACGCATGCACAGCCGAGCTGAGCTGGCGCTACAGCTCACGTGCCCAGAGAGAGGGCTCTGCGTGCCACCTCTAGCATGTGTGCCATAGGTTCACCATCACGGGTCTAGTCTCTTTTTAAAAACTCCAGAGTTGGAGCACCCCCAAGTTCTGGAGGCAAGTTGTTCCACTGGTTAATTGTCCTCACTGTTAGGAAGTTTCTCCTTAGTTCTGGGTTGCTTCTCTCCTTGATTAGTTTCCCTCCGTTGTTTCTTGTCCTGCCTTCAGCTGCTTTGAAGAATAGGGTTAACTCTCTTCTTTCTGGCTGCACCTCAAATACTGGGATACTGCTATCGTGTCACCCCGAGTCCTTCTTGTTTCTAGACTGGCTGTACCCCAAGTTGACAACCTGCAAATTCGACAAGAGGGAGCCAAGTGTAGCTCAAGAGGTCTTTGTGAGTGAAGAGTCTGCTGGTTTCTCACACTTTTAAGATTCAGCCTGGAAAGAGAAGCAGGGAAGGGGAGGAGGCGGTGGAAGAGGGGATTAAATTATTCTTCCATAAACTGAATTCAATTTAGTGCTTTAATGCCTCTCCAAAAGAAAGGGCTATCAGTCATTGCAAGCTTCCTTCCACGGTTTGGAGAGTAAATTAATTTCTTGAACGCCATGCAGTGTCGCCACGTGTTGTTGTGTGGATTCCTGTTGCTGCTTCAAACCCTTTCCTTCCCTGGGCAGGTCTTTTAAGATGAAGATTTGAAAGGGCTTATTATTTTTAGATAGATAGATAGATAGATAGATAGATAGATAGATAGATAGATAG